CTTGCAGGGTCTGCCCTGTGCCCGCTGCTGGAAGGGGGGGTGGTTCGTGGGATGGTGTGGGTGCTCTCCGGTGTGTGGGGGTGTGTTTGTGAGAGGGCGGCGCTGGGTGAGGTGGGAATGCTTTGGTTGCTCTGTCTGTCTTATTTCAAGAGCCCGCGCTTGAATTTCCCTGTTATAACTGACTGTAGTGCTGGAGACTGAGATTTAAGCTAAGGAATTTCAGAAACATACCTAAATTAAACATAATAAGCACTGCATTTCGCTAGAAGTGTTTTATTTCTTCGCTGAGTGAAATGCTGCCTCTGGTTCACTATCCTATTGTATTCCCAATGTCTTCCTATGTCTTCCTATGTTGTAAAATCTGTATATATACGTTTTCTAAGAACTAACGGTTTCTGTGAGCTCTTTGAGTCAGTTGAGCAAACATCTGTAAGAGCTGGTAATCGAGGATTTAGTGTTTGACTGGTAGAGAGAGGCCTTGAATTTCCACACTGAAGCCAGAGAGCTGTAAACTATGCTTGCATCAGAGGCAGGAAATTCACTGTCTGATGTACTCAGATAAATTAAATCAAAGCTCTGGATAGATAATGATTGCCATTTATGGAACAGCAACGCCAAGTTTTGAATGACTGCATTTCTGCGTGTAGTTGCTCAGTGACCTCTACAGAGGGCAGAAATGAACTGGTTTAGAGTTAAGACTTTGAAAGGGAAATTTTTAGTCTCTCTAGACATAAAGCCAGCGTGGAGGTACCATGGTGACCGATGCTCTATAAATAACTACGATGGGGATAACACATGCCCCAGTTGAAAGGCGCTGCTGAACTGCTGCATACCTGGAGAATGTTGCAAACAGGAACTCTCCTCATGTCTCCTGCATGAAGAAAACCTACAATAACTGCAAGGGTTTTTTAAGTATTGCCTCTGTTGCTGCAGGGATGAAACAGAGATACCCTTGGGAGGAGGTGCTAATTAAATAAGAAATACTGTGTTAGTCTGAATGAAGAGTATCTGATGTGTACGTACCCTTCGCTTGGTTAGTGGAAACGGGGTTTGGTTTATGCTGATTTAAAATACGATTTTTGTTTCTTGCCCTGTAGTTCACTGGATAGATAAGATGGCTGCTCTTGAGAAACATCCAGACCTGAGGCTCCAGCAGAACAATCCATCGGGTAAGGACGGTCCTTTCTTTAAAGCCCTGCTGCTGTCGGATCCTGTTTCAGTTCCTCTGAGGAGACATGTGGCCCTGAGAAGAGTTCTTTGCCAAAAGCTTTTCATTAAAGAAACCGATGTCTTACTCCTGCAAAATAAAAACAATTGCATGGATATGCAAGGGTAGAGAATCATTTGATAATGAACCTATCTCTTGAGTGATAACTGAAAAATCGGGAAGAGTTCTTAACAGTTAACGCAAAAATCTGTCTTTACCAGTATTGCTGTGTGCCAACATTGCTGCTGCTCTTTTTAGTTTGAGAGCGTCAGCTGGGTGTAATATCACCAAATTTATCAGTGGGAATATAATTTACTGCTTTTGCAGTCCAACTTCCGTAACGAGATTGATTTTCAATCTCCTGTTGATATTATTTGATTTCCCTGTGCTTGCTGCCATTTCCTTTTGCAAAAGAGGTTTCTGTAGCAACAACACGAGGAGTCAAGCAAGGATCAGTTTGGGGTTTGGTAGCACGGGTAATTAGATATGGCTTAATTAGGTGTATTAAAAGGCTTTTCAGTCTGTTGACTAAAACATAAATATCCCTGGCTTTTTCTCTCCAGATCCCAGCACCAGTCAGAAGAGTAATTTCTTGGAGACTGACTGGAAAACGCCTATGTTGTCTGTGAAGTTCCAGAGCCGTGTCAGTCGCTGTTCAAGCGTGGCGGACAGTGGGGACGGGGGCATTGGGACCTCCTGCTCAGACAGCACAGAAGGTGATGGTCAGCATGGGATCACGCAGTAACAGCCAAAGACTTTCAGTTTTCTTAGAAGACCGACAAGCATTAAATAGCCCGATATTACTGAGCCCTAGAATGTAAAACTTGGGGAGAGCAGAATCTGTAATGATGATTGGAGACTATTTCAAAACCAGTGCCTCAGTACGCAGATATGCTGCCTGAGATATAAACAAGTGATTAAAGGGCTTGCTGTTTCTCTAAGCTAGTTTGGTTGTCTTCTAACTGTAGTAAGCCTTTTTAACTGACTAAAAGAGCCACCTTGGTGATTTGCTGGTTCATATTGACCAACAAGTGATTTATCAGCAAGTCTGTTGTGTGATTATTTTTTTTTTTTTAAGAAATAATTTGTAGGTGCCTCTAGAGACTTCAGATCAGCGTGCCTTTGTGCGTAAGTCTCCTCAGTGTTAGAGCTGTGTGCTTCTCACTGAAGAATGCTGCAGCCTTGCCCTCAGCTGGGGCACGCTCTGTGAAATTGCTTGTCCCAGCAATCCTTTCCACCTGTATTTTCATCTTCATCCCTGAAAGTGACATAAACCACTATTGATTCACTGATTCTTCTTTCAGCAGTGAGGAAGTTTGTGCTGTTCTTTAAAAC